CCTGGGAGCACCCTGGGAGTGAAATCGGGGCTTTTGAGTTCAGCATCTGTGCACTCTGCCCCACTCTTCTCCCTGCTTCAGTTTCTCCTGTGCAATGAGCGGGTTGGACTGGAAAGGTTTGGACATTCTTTCTGAACTTGACATTCTTTAACATATGTCAGGAGCCCTGGGTTTGGGGACTACATTTGATCCTAATTCTCTGTGACTTGGCCAAGTTTCCTGCAGCTCTCTGCCTCAGTTTCCCCACTAGTAAAACAGAAACCAGACAGTCCCCAGCATCCAGATGCTTTCCGTTTTGTTGTTGTTTTTGGTGGAACTCAGGACCTCAAGCACAGTAGCCAAAGTGCTCTAACCACGGAACGACAACCCCAGCCCTGGAAATTCCTAGTGAACATAAATCTTCACCTCACTCAACAGATTCCTGGCACCACACAGGTGAAGAACAGCTGCCCCCAAACATCGGGGGCTCGCTCGCTCTCTCAGTCCAGAACCCACCTCCGAGGTAGGACCCACGCAGAGCTGGATGCCAGCACACCCACCTCCCAGCCAGGCACCCCAGGCCTCGAAGCTTCGGTTTCTGCCTCTGTAAGGTGGTGCGATACCTCCAGCTTCAGTTGGGAATTGAGGGAGAAAACATGCAAAATAAATGTCTGGCCTAGAAGTCTGTCAGTGAACACCACTGTCCCGTCCTCATCACATTCCTGGGAGGAGTTGTGAACCTCGGACCCTGTCCATGCCCTGCCCACCCCGAATCCGTGATGGTCCTGCTGAGTCACAGGAGGACCTAGATTTGGGTCTCAAGCAGCTCCCACCCTGAGGCTGCAAGTGCTCCCTGCTCAGCTGGAGGGGACAGTAAGCATTCCACCTTGTCTCTGGCTGGCAGCAGCCCCTGGGGAGGGCTGCAACCCTGTGAGGACAGAGGAGGCAGAGCGACAGCGTCAGAATGAAAAGGCTGCAGCTCACTGCAGCCTGGCTGTGGTTTGAGCTTCCGGTTTTCTGAGCTGCATCCATGTCACTGTGTCCCCAGCACAAGGCCTGTGGCTCCCTACAGGGTTCTCAGCTGCAACACAGGGACCTGACTCCTGGAGCTTATGCATGGGGCTAGGAGCGCCCCGAACTATGCAGGAATATGTGATAGGATTCAAGAGAGGCCTAAGACCCCAAATGTCAAAAGACTTCTGTTTTGTTTTGTTTAGGCAGGGTCTCACTATAAACTTGATCTCTCCACCCTCAGCCTCCCAATTGCTGGGATTACAGGCACGAACCCACCACGCCCAATTTTCAAAAGAGTCTTTGATTTAGGGATCAGAAGAACTGGTCCCCCAGACCCTATTTCCCCCTTCCTTCCCTCTTGTCATTCATTCAACAAACATTTCCTGAGACCTGTTTTCAGGCCCAGACCTCCACTGGGAATACAGCTATGAAGACGACGGGCTCCTCACCCCCCTCATCAGGAACCCCAACAAGTACGAAGTCAATTTTATAAGAGCTGATAGAGAGGCCTCAGGAGCCTCAAACTGGGACTCCTGACCCAGTGTATGGTGTGGGGCAAATTGGAAGGCAGCAGACGAGCAGATCACCGACCTCACTGAGTGGAGGAGATGGCAGGTCCCCATGGTTCACGCCTGTACTCCTAGCTACTCAGGAGACTGAGATCAGGAGGATCATAGTTCAAGACCGGCCTGGACAAACTGTTGGCGAGACCCCATCTCCAAAATAACCAGAGCAAAATGGACTGGAGGTGTGGCTCAAGCTGTAGAAGGAGTATGCCTGAGTTCAAACCTCAGTACCGCCCCCCCAAAACAAACAAGAGTGGATTGCATGAACCTGGCTCAAGGAGGCGTGGCTGTGCGTCAGCTCCTGGACTCAACCCGGGCACCCAGACTTAGCAGGGTGTTCTTGGCCTTTCCTTGGAGCCAGAGCAGAAAGTACTGGTGGGAGAGCTGGGGATCTGGCCCAGTCCCTGCTCTGGGAAGTGTCTGGCTCCTAGATACTTTGCCCCAAAATCAGGCTCCCACCCACACAGCGAGGCTCCTCTACCCTGCACAAATACATACGGGCAGTGGGAGTGCCAAGAAAGGTGTGCCGTGAGGGAGGCCCCCCAAGGAGGTCGTGCAGCTGATGCCTGCAGGACTGGGAGCAGAGGTCCTGAGAGTACTGGGGGCTCCCTGGCTGTGGAGTTTTCCTGGCATACCTCTGGGTGGAGTAAGGTGGAGGAATTCAGAGATGGGGCCTTGGGCTCAGGGATGTGGGTGTGGGACGGGAGAGGATAGTTCCTTGTTCCACAGCTCCCTAATCAGAGGAGTTAATGACCAAGAAACGGGCTCTGGGCTTAGGCAGACCTAAATCTCCCTCATCATGGTTCATCAAGGTCCCTGGGTAAAAATGTCACCTGTCCAAGCCTCCTTCCATCTGGGTTGAGGGGTCTGGGGATAGTTGCTAAAGAGCTCAACTATCTTTTGGGGGTGATAAAAATGTTCTAAAATTCATTATGGTAGCCTGGCACTGGTGGCTCACGCCTGTAATCCCACCTACTCAGGAGGCAGAGATCAGGAGGATCGTGGTTCGAAGCCAGCCTGGGCAAATAGTTCTTGAGACCCTATCTGGAAAAAACCCTTCACAAAAAAGGGCTGATGGAGTGGCTCAAGGTGGAGGCCCTGAGTTCAAACCCCAGTACTCCAGTACTGAAAAAAAAAAAAAAAGTCATTATGGTGTTGGTTACAGAACATAGAAAAAAAAAGCACCACATTTACACTTTAAATGGTTGAATTGTATGATAAGTAAATTATAGCTCAATAAAGTTGTCATAAAACAAGTTGTTGGGAGATCAGATAAAGTGCTACCCCTGGAGGAGGGGCCTGGTCAGCCACAGGTTTGTTGGGGGACTACCAGAAAGCACATAACCTCCTCAAGGTTCAGTTTTGTCATCTGTGAAGTGGGAGTGGTTTTCCAGGTGTTCACCACTCTTGGGACACTGTGAAACTCTGATCCAACCACGGGCTCTGCCAAATAGAACTCTACCTACTGGAGCTCAGAGCCCGGGAGAAGACACAGCAAGGGTGGAGACCCCACCTCTGCTGTGCAGGCCAGCATGTCATCACTCCAGGCCTCAGTGACCTTGCCTGTATCATGGAGCCTGTCCTCCCTATAGGGCAGGGCTGAACTCACAGTGACTGGCGGCACCTTGTCACACAGTGACTTGTGTCAGGGCTACATCCGTATCCTCCCCAGACTGCCAACCTCCCTCCCATACACCCCTGAACCCCAGCCCCCTTCGTTCTCCCTTCTCCTCAGCCAGCCCCAGAAGGCACCAGCCCCCACCTGCTGGGGCTGCAGGTGTGACCAGCAGGACCTGAAGCCTCCCTCCTCTGCCCAGCTGCAGGGGAAGGTCACCGGGCCTCCCCCACACTCTGGGCCTCTGTTCTCACTGCGGATGGAGCTGGCTCAGCCAGACGCAGCGTCTCCTCCCTCTTCAGAGACTGGTCGGGGACCCAGCCAAGGCCTCCACCACCTCCAATGTGTCCCCGCCTGGTCCCTGCTCCCCATGAGACACAGAGCCTGGCTGTGGCTCCTCTGGGATCTCTCCAGCATAGCTGCCTGCCAACCACTCCTTCTGGATCATTCTGTCTGGTCCCAGCTTGCAGACAGCCAGGTTGTCCCCAGTGGGCACTGGAGACGTCAGGATAGGTTGCCCCAGCCTTGCCATGTTGGCTTGGGCAGCCTGAAATGGCTTAGGGGGCAAATTCTGTGACTTAGTTTCCCCATTTGTCCATTGCAAGTGATCTGGAAGATGTCATCCCTAAAATCGGTGCTTCTGATTCCCTTCACTTCTCCCCTCCGCACCAGTCCTTGCCACGGGGCTGTCTCCTATGTGTCGCTATGGTGACTCTAGTGACCGGACCAGGCAAGCAGGAGACGACTAGGAAGGGGAAGGTGATGGGGCAGGTGGGGAGGCTCAGCTCTAGTTCCGCAGTCTTGGACAGGACTCTGGCCATCCCAGGTCAGAGCCTGCCATTCTGAGCCTCAGTCTCCTCATCCATAAAATAGGAAGTTGTACCTGAGTTATTTGGAGGCAGACACCCTCCCTCCCTCCTCATCTCCCTCCCTCCTTCCTTCCTTCCCTCTTTCCCTTTCAGTGCTGGGGACACAGCCAGGGACTCAAGAATGCTAGGCAAGTGTTCTACCACTGAGTGGCAACCCCAGTCCCAGGGTTTGTTTGGTTTTGTTTTGGTTTTTGGTGGTACTGACATTTGAACTCAGGCCCTTGTGCTTTCTAGGCAGGTGCTCTTATCACTTGAGCCACTCCACCAGTCCTAACTTTTTTTCTTTTTAGTGAAACTGGGGTTTTGAACTCAGGACTCCACGCTTCAGAAGCAGGCTTTCTACCGCCTGAGCCACACCTCCAGTCCATTTTGCTCTGGTTATTTTGGAGATGGGGTCTTGCAAACTGTTTGCCTGGGCTGGCCTCAAACTATAATCCTCCCAATGTCAGCCTCCCAAGTAGCTAGGATTATAGGCATGAGCCACTGGCGCCTGGCTCAGAAATACAAAAAGAAGAGGCAGAAATACAAAGGATAGACAATTCAAAGTCACTTTCCTCTCCCAGCCACCCAGATCGTAGGCACCCAGGGCAGTCTGTCTGGGGCAGAAACATTTCTGAGTGGGTTTTTGTTCCCAGACAAGCCGGGTGTTTGTTATTCAGTGCATAGCCTGTCACTCCCAAGGTTGTTCGGGATTTGGGACCCAAAACACCCTGGCAGAGATGTGGGACCACAAAGACCTCCGTGCCCCACCCTGTGTCCCCCTCTTTGTCCCAGGTCCTCCCCTCCCCCCCAGCAGCCAATCTGGCTGTGCTCCAGCGGCTGGGGCAGGCGCTGCACTCTGTACCCTGGCCACTGTGACAGTGCAGGGCTGCGCAGGTCGCCCTTCAGCCCAAGCTGACACCTCACTCAGGGGCCCAGCTTGGGGAAACAGCTCCGTGCGGGGACAAGGGGGCTGAGCTAGTGGGAACTGGACAGGACAGGGACATGGGCGTGTGGTGCAGGGAAGGGCTGACTTCGGCTTGGGTCCCTGTTGTACCCCTCCAGGTAGGCAGTCTTCCTCCAGGAGCTCTGTTCTCTCTGAGGGTGAAGTGAGGAAGAATCTAAGCGTGCCTGGGGAATGAGGAAGCGCTCCATAAATGGCAGCTGGCTGTGTTAATTAGAGGCTCCGGGCTTTTCTGCCACCCTCAGCGTCCATCTGATTTCTGAAAAGCTAGGACATCAAAACTTAAGAGCCTGCACTCAGAAGCCTTGCTTCTCGCCAGGCGAGGTAGCTTACGCCTGTAATCCTAGCTACTTGGGAGACTGAGATTGGACGTTTAAAGGCTATCCCGGGCAAAGAGTTCTTGAGCCCCCCCATCTCCAAAATGACCAGAGCAAAATGGACTAGAGGAGTGGCTCAGGCGGTAAAGTGCAAGAGCAAAGCCCTGAGTTCAAACCCCAAGCCTGCAAAAAAAAAAAAAAGACAGCAAAAAGGGTTGTTGCTCCCCTTCCCATGAGTGGAGGATTGACAGGAGGTGATATTGTCTTTGCTGTCATCAGACCTCAGGCCTAAACTCCTCATGTCAGGTCCAGCCCACCCCATACACCAAAGAAAGGAGGCCTGGTGAAGGCAGAGAAAGGAGGTTTATTACATGGCTTGGGGCGCACCGTGGGAAGAGGCAGAGGAAGCTCTCAGCTCATCTTCAGCCATTTTCAGGGTTTAGATGGACAAAGAGCTATTTGTCTTTGTACAGCAGGTGGAGTGGGATCATAATTATTAAGCAATCCTGGTCACAGAGGTGTTCCTGTGAGTCATTATCTCAGTCCTTGTCTGGGGAAGGGACATCGGTCAAGATAAACAGGTCCTTGTGGCCTGGCAGGTGGTCTGTCCTGTGGGTCTCTGCTGTTTCTTTTCCTTGAGGGCACTTTCTTCCAGCCTCCTGGTAAGCATGTTATCTATAAATCCTGTCCTTCCTGGATTCCAGGGTGGCTGCAGGAGAGAATGGCTCAGAGCAAAGGACAACAGGTACAAAATGGAGACAGAGGTGCCAAGCTTTTCTCCTGCTTTTAGTTAATTCGTGGGCCCAAGGACTCAGAGCTTTTCAGCAGGAGCTGCTTTTAAACCCCTGTTACAATTATTGTTGAGCCTGCCTAGCAAGCTTGAGGCCCCAAGTTCAATTATTGTTACCATAGATTGTTATATTGGGTGCTCCCCCCAGCCCTGTCTCGGATATGTAGTCATAATAGATCCAGGAGCCTCATCCCACCCGACTTTCCAGGTGAGCCGCACCGGGGGACGGGGCAGCAGTTGGATATGTGCCCTGAGAGTGCATTGGGGGCTAATGGGAAACGGAAGTGGAGAAGGGGTACAGACAGATCACAGGGCTGAGGATCAGGTGTCTGGGTCAACCTCTTGCTTAGGCCTGCTTTGAGCCTTGGTTTCCCCCTCTGTGAAATGGGCCTTGTCCTGCCTCTCCCATTAACCCTGTGATTTGGGGTGCTTGGGGAAGGGAATGTGTGAGAGGGTATTTGTTGCCTGCACAGCAGAGGTCACAAGCAAGCAGTCCCCAGGCTGACGTGGCCTGCAGAGCAGCTTGGTTCCACCCCCGAAAGGAATTTATTTGCCTTGGAAACAGACGTAGTGATGGTTACACAAATTGTGGCACTTAACTGTACACTGAGAAACTAGTGGACTTGGGGACATGGCTCTCGTGGTAAAGCACCTGCTTAGCAAACACAAGGCCCTGAGTTCAAACCCAGTACATCACCACCAAAAAAATAATAAAATAAAATAAAGATGGTACATTCTATATAATATCTATTTTACACAATTTTTTCTTTCTTTTTTTTTTTTTTAGGTAGTACTGGCACTTGAACTCAGGGCTTTCACCCTGAGCCACTCCACCAGTCCTTTTTTTTGTGGAGGGTTCTTTGAGATAGGGTCTCGTGAACTATTTGCACAGGGCTGGCTTTGAACCATGATCCTCCTGATCTCTGCCTCCTGAGTAGCTAAGATTACAGGTGTGAGCCACTGGCTCCCGGCTAGGGTTTGAATTCAGGGCTTTGTGCTTGCAAAGCAAGTGCTCTACCATTTGTGCCACACCTCCAGTCCATTTTGCTCTGGTTATTTTGGAGATGGAGTCTTGTGAACTAGTTGCCTGGGGTGGCCTCAAACCACCCTCCTCCCAATCTCAGCCTCCCAAATAGCTAGGATTATAGGTGTGAGCTGCTGCACTCAGCCAAAAACATTTTTAATGTAGGACAAAAAAATTTTTTAAAGCGGTTGCCCTACATATCAGAAAAGCCACGTCCACTTTAGGACATTTGAAAAAGCCCAACAGGAGGCAGGTAGTGTGTGTGTGTGTGTGTGTGTGTGTTACTCAAACCCATGACCTCCAACCACACAGTAAGGGCTGTCTGGAGGGAACTGGGACTCTGGCACTGAGCCACTGCACACCCAGGCCTCCCTTCTGTGCCTCCCATTGGCTGGGCCTAACCTGAGCTGGTTGCAAAGGATCTTGGGAAATGTAGTTTTCATGGTCAGCCCTAGGGAGACAGCAGGACAGAGGAAGCACAGTGGAGGGCCTGCAGTCACCCTGCAACTGACCAAATGACTGGGAACAGTTGTCAACCCTAACTGACTGGGCAATTTAGCATAAGAATCTCGATTCATAGCTCCTCTGGAAACAGCAAAATCTCCTTTGGGTCCACCATCCTGGTGATGGTAGAAGGAAGTGGTGGAAAGGAAGGAAAATGGGCTGGGAGAAAGTCCAGAGGTGAGACCCACCTCTGCCCGCAGGGCCTTAGGCTCACAGTGTTCTGGCCAGCACTCCATGAGGCCTATAGGGACCTCAGATCCTTCAGGCAGGGGACAGGAGATGCCACGAGGACCCTGAGCTAGGTGGACAGAGCAGGCAGGGCAAGGGCAGCCAGTGGGGGCACAATTGTCCCCTAGAAAGAGAGCCCTGGAGAGCTGGGACTGTGGAAACCTCCCGTTGTAGCTTTTGGAAGCTGTCTGGTTCTTGGTGGGAGGCGTTTACTTTAGTTTTCTTTCTAAGGCTGCCAGGTCCTGTGCTCAAAATATGTCTTCAAGGAAAGTTCCTCATGTAAACTCATGGCAGAACTATCTGGAGGCAGAAGTGGGGAAACTTGGGGTTTTCCTCTGAACATCCCTGAGAGGGACACAGAAGCACTCAGGTGAGGTCCCAGTCCTGCCCAGGGTCACAGGTGGCATTTGAGGAGAGCTGTACTTCCATCTGTCACCTGCCTCTTGGCTCCCAAGAAGCTGAGAACTCCAGCTATGGAGTTAGTGACACTGGACAAATCCCCACTAGCTCAGGGACCTCAGAAGAGTCCCCTGCACTCAGAGGACCAGGTTCTTCTTGTTGGAAGGGGACATCAATAGGTTCCTCTCAGGACTTAGGGTTTGGGGAAGGAGTGGAGGGAACCCTCACTGTAGGGATCCCCACAGTGCCTGGGAGCACGGGAGTGGGGGGGTGGGGGGTGTTGTCATGGTTACCAAGAGGCCAGTCCCAGCACTGCCCTGATGACTGGGACTGTCCCCTGACCTGCACTAGGGGGGAGAACTCCGCAGACCCCCCCCATTCTTCTTGCCCTGCTCCCTCCCGGGTGGAATTTGTCCTCTGCGGGGCTGTACAGAAAGAGTCGCTTTTTTTGATGAGACAGCGATGAGGTGATGTCTGGGATTTTTTATATCCCCGCAGCTGAACGGGTGCCAGACACCAGAGTCTGGCCCGATCCCACGAGCCACATTTGTCCTCTGAGCTCCCAACCCTTGGGGGACCTTCCAGGGGTCCACACTGAATGTCCCCATCGGGGGGGCGGGGGGGGAAAGTTGCCTGGGGCAAATGAATACAGGTTCAAGACTTACCACTCCACTCGGGACCACCCTTGAGTCTTTTCCTCAAAAAACAAAGATTTATTTCTTCTTACCAAAGTGAGAAACCCTTTGAGGTCTAGGCACTGCCACTAATCACGTTCTGGAGGGTAAACCGAGGCCTAGACAGGAAAATTACCTTGTCCTTAGTGATCCGGGGTTAAGTGCCAAGTTCTGCGTGTAATCTTGTTGATAGATTGTGAGTCAGACTTCAGACCTGAGCCTTTGTTACCATTCTGGGTTCCCGGTCAACTTAAGTTGCTCAAGAAGGGATCAGTGGTCTGGAGAATCCTATTGTTATTGATGACATTATAAGATCATATTTTTGATGGGTCGTTGGGATTACAGGTGTGTGACACCATGCCTGGCAATACTTAAGTTTTTATTTATTTTTCACAGTACAGGGAATTGAATTCAGATCCTTGTGCTTGCCAGGCAAGCTCTGTACCACTTGGGCCATGCATGACTCCAGTACTGAGTGAGTACTTATGTTTTCATTTATTTATTTAGGCAGTACTGGGGTTTGAACTCAGGGCCTCATGCTTGCTAAGGCCCTCTACCACTACAGCCACTCTGCCAGCCCTATTTTGTGTTAGATATTTTTGAGATAGGGTCTTGTGAACTATTTGCCCAGGCTGGCTTCCAACCTCAGTCTCCTGCTCTCTGCTTCCTGAGCAGCCAGGATTAAAGGTGTGAGCCACCAGTGTCAGCTATATTTCTATGTTTTAAAGATTCTGCTGAACAGTATGTTCTACAATTTGCTTTGTTGCAAATAAGAGCTCTTTGGGGCTGGGAATGTAGCTCAGCGGTAGAATCTGCGCTTAGCATACACAAGGTCCTGGGTTCAAACGCCAGTACCAAAAAAATAGAAAAGGAAAACAACCCCCCCCTCCAAAAGAAAAAAGTAGTTTTGTGTGTGTTTGTGTGTGTGTGTGTGCAGTACTGGGGTTTGAACTCAGGGCCTACATCTTGAGCCACTCCACCAGCCCTTTCTTGTGAAGGGTTTTTCAAGATAGGGTCTCATGAACTATTTGCCCTAGCTGGCTTTGAAGCTCGATCCCCCCAGCTCTGTCTCCTGAGTAGCTGGGATTACAGGCATGAGCCATGGCACCAGGCAAAAAAGCAGCTATTGAAGTGAGAAAATTCTTTACCTGGTGAGCCATAATGAATCTGGTAATGAAAGTAACCAGTAAATTTTGTGCAAAGTTGTGTGTGTGTGTGTGTGTGTGAGCAATCTTTAGAAACAGTTACTATATCTGTCATCAGGATCTTAGGAAAGATTCTGACCCAAACTCCTTTCTCAGATGGGAGAAGTGAGGCTGAGAGGCAAAAGGCCTTGACTAAGGATGAGAATGGCGTAGTTGCTTGGTCCTGGGCACCCTGCCCTGGTCTAGAGATGAGCTGTGTCCCTTACAGCCAGAAAGAGTGAGGCAGTCTGAGCCTCTGCAGTGCTTTCTTAGAGATTTACAGCCTTCAGAAGCTCGGGAAGGTTGCAGAGAAAAAGCCTGGAGCCTGCAGGGACCGCAGTGGCCTGGCTGTCCCAGGTTCTGGGCAGCCCTTCCAGGGGTGAGGGAAAACATAACTCCTGCACCTCTGCAGGGATGATATGCAGAACCTGAGCACAAGGCCTGGCCCCCCTCCTGTTGCTTGGTCTATGAGTGTGACTAACAGTGCAATCAGCCAGGTATTTTGGAGCATGGAGGCCTAGATGTTTTCTGGTGGCAATGGGATCGTCTCATGTCACCACGTCCTAAAGAAGAGGGGTTCCCTTCTCATAGAGTTAAACACACACAGGCACTTGGCCTAGGAGTTGAGGAGCCCCCGGCTGATCCAGGGCAAGCAGGACAGGAGCAGGAGCAGTTGCAGGCTAGCCTCAGCCTCACGCCAACACTGAGTCAGCATCAATGTGGGTGAGTTGCAGACACAGCCATGGTTTCACTTCTGCCCTCCAAATCTTGCACCAGAATCTCTCCTGGAGCCCACCCGGGCTCAGCAATGTCACTCAGCCAAACCAAAACGACACGTTACAAATCCACCCGGAGCTCTGCAGCATCTGTCACCCATCCAACTGTGCGTGAAGAGAAGACTCTTCATGTCTTCTTGCCTCCAGCCATTATGGAAAGGAGCCCAGGCTTTGGAGGACCACAGAGCTGGGCTCAAACTTGCCACCTGCTAATTACTAGCTAAGAGCTAAGCTTCAGTTTCTCTGTAAAATAGGGATAGTAATGCACGACTTGCAGACTCAACATAAATATTAAAGCCGGGTGCTGGTGGCTCATGCCTGTAATTCCAGCTACCCAGGAGGCAGCGATCAATAGTTCAGAGCCAGCTGGGGCAAATAGTTCCTGGGACCCTATCTCAAAAAAGCCCATCACACACACACACACACACACACACACACACAAAGAGCTGGTGGAGTGGCTCAAGATGTAGGCCCTGAGTTCAAATCCCAGTACTGAAAAAAACACACCCATCAGTATCCAGGATGTCCAGAGGACACCAAATCCACAGATGCTGATTTAAATTGGGATAGACTGCAATCCTCTCATCTCTGTCTCCTGAGTAGCCGGGATTACAGACAAACACCACCACGCCTGGCCCTTCGTTAACACTGTATGTTGAGATGTTTAAGGAACCAGCCCCCCCCCCCTCCCCCTCCCCACCTACTCCCTCCCCCCACCCCCCCCACCCCCCCCCTCCCCCCCCCCCTCCCCCACCCCCCGCCCCCCCACTCCCCCCCTCCCCCCTCCCCCCCCCCCCCCCCCCCCCCCCCCCCCCCCCCTCTTCCCCCCACCCCACCCCCCCCCCTATCCCCCCCCCCCCCCCCCCCCCCCCCCCCCCCCCCCCCCCGCGGCCCCCCCCCCCCCACCCCCTTTCTCCCCTCCCCCCCGCTCGCCTTCCCCGCGGCGGCGGGTGCGGCGCGTCTTTCTGCACTTCCTCTCCGCGCCTCGCCCCCCAACGACCTCACCTCCAGGACCACACGCACCGCCCCCCGAAACAGCCCTGAAAAGGATGAGTCTATACGCCACTGGTTCCCTTAACATCTCTACACATCAACTAGTCCCCCCCCCCCCGCCCCCCCCCCCCCCCCCCTCCCCCCCCCCTCCCCCCCCCCCTCCCCCCTCCCCCCCCCCCTCCCCCCCCCACCCCCCCCCCCCGCCCC